TTTTTTTTTTTAATTTTTTTTTCAACGTTTTTATTTATTTATGGGACAGACAGAGACAGAGCATGAACGGGGGAGGGGCAGAGAGAGAGGGAGACACAGAATCGGAAACAGGCTCCAGGCTCCGAGCCATCAGCCCAGAGCCTGACGCGGGGCTCGAACTCACGGACCGTGAGATCGTGACCTGGCTGAAGTCGGACGCTTAACCGACTGCGCCACCCAGGCGCCCCAATCTTTTCTCTCATTTTCAAAAGCTGTTTATTTTAACAGCTGGCCCTCAGAGGAAAATTGGAGAAGACGGCTGATACATCAGAAACAGAAAAGCTGGTAGGAGATACAAAACAAGCTAATGGAAGAGTACAGCAATCCCCTAGAAACTTCTACTTCCGAAGTAGAGTGCTACCTCTTTTGCCCAATTTTTCAGAGTACTTCTAATTGATTCTGCCAGGCACATGTGGAATTTTAGAACCTCTCTTTTTGCAATGCGTTTTTTAAAAATCAGAAAAAAGTCAGTACTGTTTGTCAGTACGGGGGAAGATTGAACTTTTCTCAACGAACGTTATTTTTGTAAAAGAATTGACTGAAGTTACTGTAAAAGTTTCATAAACTCTTTGCTACGTGCCTGTGATTATTTCCTTCTGAAGACTTTGAACCTGTAAGTACATTTGCTCAGAGAGTCAGTCTAACTCTGAAAGTATTCTGAAGATCACCCTGTACCAGCTTTTTGCTCTATAAATTTTACAGTGGTTTTTAGCCAAAAGCAATAAAATGTGACCTACTAATTCTAACGTCACAAATCTCATTCTTGAGTAATACTTTCGGCAAAGTCATTTTTGTGTAAGACTACTAGAATTCCATGAACATGCAATGTAGGAATTTACCAAAACAACCCCATCTAATTTAAAATCCACTTACATTTTTCTTAAGCACAAACCCACATTATTAACCAGATTTTCCTCCTAAGTGGAAGAATGACTGGTTCTATTGTTAAGACACTTCAAACTAACATTTAAAATATAGTGGTCATGTTTTTGTTTTCAAAACACTCTTCTATTAACTCTCTGGTTTACTCCTTAACCTGAGAGTTATTTAAGAGATTTGAGTGCTATTGTTTGGGTAATTTTGCTTAAAGATTCCTACCTATGTTTCAAGGTACTATGAAATTATTACATAGATAAAATTTTCTTTTTGAGATTTTAAGACTCTCTTCCATGACTTTGTATGTTATTTTATGAACATTCCATGAATGGCCACTTCCTCGGTCAGAAATCCGCTGCCCTGCCCTGAATGCTTTTGCTCAAACACCCTCACATCAGCAGAACTCTACCTGACACTCTCCTCCTTTTGCTCCTACTGCTATGGTAGCACATTATTGCACTATTTTTTTTTCATGTTTTTATTTTTGAGAGAGACAGAGAGAGAACACGTGTGCGAGCGGCAGAGGGGTAGAGAGAGGGAGACAGAATCTGAAGCAGACTCCGTGCTGTCAGCGCAAAGCCAGATGTGGGGCTCGAACCCACATCCTGTGAGATTATGACCTGAGCTGAAGTCGAACGCTCACCCGACTCAGCCTCCCCAGGCACCCCTCGCACTATTTTTTTTTTTTTTTTTTACATATCAACCAGTTTCTTGAGCATCATTTTCTTGTGTTCACCTCACTGTTCCCTGCATCGAGCAGAGTCCATGGGAGACACACAATAAATACTTTCCCAATGAATGAAAAGAGAACTGGTGCTCCTGTGCCGTGCCAGGACAGGAGCAGTGGGCCCCCAGGAGAAAGACGCAGGGCAGGCCTGGCACAGCTCATCATGTTTGACCTTGACGTTATCAAACAGGTGAGTCATTATTCACAATGTGTATTTTAATAATGAAAATTCCAAAGGCAAAATTTTGTTATAATAATAAAATCATCATCTGAAAAGATAAAAATATGTTTTACTTACCTAATGTAATCCATTGTCCAGAAGAATCTGAAAGTAACTTCAAATTAGGAATAACATTTGGGTCTTTAAAAAAAGCCTAAAATACAAATTTGAGGGGAATAAGTTAGAAACTGTATTACAAACAATATCAAGAATTAATTTCTAAAACAACTGTAGTAAACTCTCACTTGATCGGGGAAGGACGATTTTATTTTATTTTTATTTATTATTTTTTTAATGTCTATTTTTGAGAGAGAGAGAGAGAGAGCGAGAGAGCGTGAGCAGGGGAGGGGCAGAGAGAGGGCGACACAGAATCTGAAGCTGGTTCCAGGTTCCGAGATGTCAGCACAGAGACTGACGTGGGGCTCGAACTCATGAACCATGAGATCATGACCTGAACCAACGTTGGACGCTCAATGGACCGAGCCACCCAGGCGCCCCTCATGAGTATTTGTGATCTAAGGGTAGTAAGAACACCCTGAACAGATGTAAGCAAAGAAAGAGCTTAAATCAGTCCTATTTTTTACCATGATTCTGGCAGCAGCGTGGAAAATGAGCTGAAGGGTTATTAAGAGAATAGGTAGAAGGGAAGGTACTGCTGTAATCCAGGAAGATCTGATGTTCACATCAGTCAAGATGATAGCAAGGGGGAGGTAGAGAAGTGAATGGCCTCAACGACCGTTTAGGAGGACAAAGGACAAAGGGCGAGGGAGGAACCACAGATGATGCATGAGAAACTGGACAGAATGAATGTCATTTCATGAGAAAGGGAACAGTGAAGAGGACCAGGTGTGCAGGGTGAAGATTAATATGTTCCGCAAGTATCTCTGAATACCTACAGCATGACACACACAAGTTCCTGTGCCACGGAGTTTACATTCTAGTGGTGGAAGGTAAACACTTCACAGGTATCATCTATGCCCAATCACAAAAAAGAAAAAAATATTTTCCCCAAAACTACTCCTCAGGAAAAAAAAAAAAAAAAAGGCAAGTTGATAACTTTATACATTCAAGCTAAAGAGTGTTTGTGCAATTATCTTTATTTAACATTTTATTTTCTTTTAAAGTTTATTTCAGCTATTTTGAGAGAAAGAGAGAGCATGGGAGGGGCAGAGAAAGGACAGAGAGAATCCCAAGCACGTTCTGCACCGTGTGCACGGAGCCCAAAGTGGGGCTCAAACCTACGAACAGTGAGATCATGACCCAACCTGAAATCAAGAGTCAGAAGCTTAACTGAGTGGCCCAAGTGCCCCACAATCATCTTAATTTCTATAATATACGCTTTGAAAAGAAATATAAGCTGGAGTTAACCTCAGTTAATACTGATTTTGAATGCCTTTTAGATGTCTTCTGCAAAAATCAGTACAAGGAGAAATTTAATTCAGATTTAGTAATTATCCCTGGGGGGAGGGAGTATCAACTTACAATTACATTTTATATGCCATTATAAATGGACGCAGGCTAAGTGACCTGCAGTGAAGTGACCTAGAGCCAATGGAAATAAGTCTTCATAAAGGCCCCTCACATAAAGCAACACGAGAATCATTATGCTGTTGGGGTTAATTATGCACCGAAAGAATAATAATAATAATTTAAAAAAAGCCCTGTCCTAATAGATGCACATGGTATTTTGGGTATGTTATAGAATTTCCAGTGGGGCATTAGAAGGAATTCTCTGTATCTCAACTTTAGGAAAGCTGATGTGCTTTGGGAAAATATTACATGATTCCCAAACAAGTTACAGGATAACAAAGATACGAATATCAAAATGCATGTAAAGATTAAACTTACTTGTTTCAGAAAATGTGAGCGTTAAAAAAGTATTTCTAAATTGATATATTATTTTCTATAACATAGAATGTTAAATGTACGTCTATTCTATGCCACACATGAAATCTAGCAGATTGCTGGTTTCTGATCCAGTATCCATTCCCTTCTTCTTCCTTAAGGAATCCAATTTTATTTGGGATGGCAATGTGCTCAGCTAAAAGTCTGCACCGCCTAGTCTCTGTGTTATGAGGTCATGAGGCGTGAGCAGAGATGTTGGCAGACCTTTAGAAAGCTTGGGTGAAGTGGCTAGGTTGTTAAAGATCCGACGCTGTCACGATCTCATGGCCGGTCGTGAGTTAGAGCCCCGTCAGGCTCTGGGCTGATAAAACGGTCAGAGCCTGGAGCCTGTTTGACATTCTGTGTTCTCTCTGCCCCTCCCCGTTCATGCTCTCTGTCTGTCCCAAAAAATAAAAAAACGTTGAAAAAAATTAAAAAAAAAAAAAAAAAGAAAGAAAGCTCTATAAATTGCTTCTTTCCCCCCTTATCCCTAGTCCCGTGGTGAGGATGCCAACACTGCATACTGAGCCCAGAGCTCGCTCTTGACAAAGCAAGATCTCAGATTCAACAGTCTAGGATCCCACCACTTGCATGCACTTCAAGTTCAACATGCCTAAAGATGAACTCGTTTTCCTTCTTCTTTTGCATTTTCTAGGGCTTTAACGGCATCATCTACCACTCCAGTCAACCAACTCAGACATTCGCTCATCCTACACTCCCTTCTGCCTTATTCTCAGTATCTTATTAGTCCTGAGTAATTTGCCTTTCTCCGAACGTCCGTCCAGGCCTCCCGGTGCTGCTGCCCTAATTCGGTGTCCTATGACAGTTGTTTTGTCTGAGTCATTGATTCAGACTCAGTCCTAACACCTATGCTCCACATTTCTGCCAGACTCGGTAGACTGTAGTTTAAAGTTTACGATCTTCTCGAAAAACTTTCAGTGACTCTTCAGTAGCTAGATAAAGCCCAAACTCTTTTGGGAGGCAATAAGGTGCAAATATGGTCCCACCGTCTAACATCCCCCCGACTTGTCTACCTGACAATCTCCTGCTCACGTTTAGTGCCCATCTCAAGTGGCTGGCCTTTAAACCTTGACCCCTCGGCCAAAAAAAAAAAAAAAAAAAACCGAACAAACAAAAAAGGCGGGAAGTTCCCCGCATCAAGCCAGGCATGCTGGCAGTTCCAGGCTGGCGTTCTCCCGGCCCAGCCCCCCCGCCTGCGGCCGGTCAGGTAATGACGCGGGAGGATCACAAGCAGTCTGGTGCGGCAGCCCTCCATCAGCGGCTGCGGGGCCGCAGGACGCCACAGCAGACCGCAGACGTCAACGCCGTCCATCCAGCTGGCGAGGGAAAAACCGGATTTCAAATAACGTGACTGAATTTAAGGAATGCACCAGAACTTCACTTTCAGGCCCCTCTTCCCGGGGCTGCCCCTTCCAGCAGGTCATGAGAGCCGGGCTTGACCGAGTGCTCTGAACCCCCTGTGTGCACGTGCGGGGAGCAGTCACAGGTGCTTTGACCTGAGCCCACCAGTTCCCAGAAGTCCTCTGGTGGGAAGCCAAGTCGGGTGCTGTGGAGGACCTGGCAGGGGCAGCGGGGGGGGCAGGGGTGGTGGCGGCCGGGGCACTGGGAGACTGCAGGATGCGGGGTGGCAGGGGCACGGGGAGGCAGGGGGCAGGACGGGCCGGGAGGACACCGGGGTGTGGGCCGGGGGGGGAACCTTATGAATTTACAGGACACGGGGGGGCGGGGCACCTGGGGATGCCGGGGGGGCCGGGACACCCGGGGTGGGCCGGAACGCTGGGTCCCGTAAGGACAAAGTCCCCGCCACGCCGGGCAACTCGCCGCGCACGCAGACCAGCCGGGCGGGGCCGCAGCTCGTCGGCGGACGCCCGGCGGGCCTCTTCTCGTCCCGTTCAACCATGACGAAGTCGTCCTGCGATAGGCCTGGAACGTCTGGTCGAAGTCGAACGCCCTGAGCCGCGACTCTGCCCAGCATGGACCTGCGGCGGGGGGCGGAGGAAGGTCAGCGGCCCGGCGGCAGGCGTCGCGGTGGCTCCTGCCCGCCTCGCCTCACCACTGGCGGAGCCGGCTGGTGGTCTCCTGGGTGCCTGGGACACTGGAAGGTTCTCTGAGGCAGGACCAGTAGTCTGTGTCCACTGGCCTGGCTGCTTAAAATCACTCCCATATCCTCACTCGGTGGTTTTAGTGCGTACCGTTTCCATGGAGACGCGGAGGCAGGGGTAAGTGTCAGCCTTCCAGGAAGCCAGAGGCTCGTGGCGGGGCAGGGCAGTGGTGGGAGGCCACGCAGTGATCTCGGCTCTCTTCCGGTTGTGGGCAGAGGCCTGTGGCGGGGCGGGGGGCGAAGAGGGGCCGTTGGCCCGGGGAGGACCAGGAGCACGGCAGTAGTCAAGTCCTGCCGGTGAGGCAAGGAACAACTCATGGTCAGTGGAGGCCTGAAATGTGAGCCAACAACAGGCGGGGCTAGTGGGGGTAATACAAATAATGGATATCCGGACCTCAGGCACCTATGGGGAGTCAAACCAGTCCTTCATGGGGGGCAGCAGATGGATGCATGCAGCATGGACAGCAGCGGAAGTTTCAAGAGGATAGCCCGTTCGGGAGAGGACCAACTGGTCATTAAAGCAAAGAGTCCAGGCCCATTTTTTTTTTGGCGGGCAGGTCTAAGGCAATCAAACTACGATACAGGGGCGGGCTCATCAAGGAGGCAAATCAGAACACCGAGGGGCGAACAGGATGACGGGAGCGCAGACAAATCACTCGTGGACGGGGAAATGGACAAACTAAGTGGGCGGATGGAAACAGGCTCGCCCGCAGGGGGCGGGGACATGCTGCCGGCTGGAGGGACAGGGAGGACGGCTCTGCCTCGCCGTCCATCTGGGGAAAGGGTGGCGCCCAGGAAGTGCAGTGCGTGAGTACGGCGCCGACTTAACAGTTGACCCCTAATCTAATTCTCCTCAGCACAGGTTAATTTCAATCTCAAACTTGCTAGCTTGGATTTGGTTATCTGCTCATGATCAAACATTTATGAAGACATTATTTTCAATTAATTAATAGCTTCTTTTGGAAGACACATGTCTATATGACTACTTGGAAAACTATTCTCTTCTTTACCATCTGCTTTTTTATTTTACATCTGAAGGCTAAAAGATATTTTCTTTATAGAAACATACTTTTAAATTTTTATTATATTTTTAATATCTTTTTAAAAAATTTATTTATTTTGAGAGAGGGAGTTAGCAGGGGAGGGGCAGATGGAGAGAGGGACAGAGGATCCGAAGCAGGCTCTGTGCTGATGGCAAGCTGGATGTGAGTTCTAATTGAACTCACAAACCAGGGGATCATGACCGAGCTTAAATCAGATGCTCAACTGAGCCATCCAGGCACCCTGAAAGACTCAGATTTAACATGATAAATGTCTAATGAAGAAAGTAGAATAATAAAAACCAAAAGATTAAACTAAAATATGCTAAAAATAGAATTTAAAAGATAAGTATTTTGTGTACAGTTTTCCTGGAAAGTACTTTATTGAGTAACATTAAGTATTAGGAGTGGGAACTTGACACTCCTAATTTAAAGTTTCCTTAGTTTTTACGTTTGGCAACATAGGCGATCAATTTTCTTTGAATAAATATACTGACATTTCGTTGCACTCACAAAACATCAAGTTTGAATTGGCGTGCCAGAATTTATTTTTATTTATTTTTAATGTTTATTTTGAGAGAGAGAGAGGGAGAGTGCGAGTAGGGGAGGGGCAGAGAGAGAGGGAGAGAGAGATCCCAAGTAGGCTCCACAGTATCAGTGCAGTATCAGTGCAGCCCAGTATGAAGCTTGAACTCATGAAGCGTGAGATCATGATCTGAGCCGAAATCAAGAGTTGGACCCTTAACTGACTGAGGCATACGGGTGCCCCTTTTCATTATTAAAAAAAATTTTTTTTTAAGACGTACTTTTAAGTAATCTCTACATCCTACAAGGGGCTCAAACTTACAACCCCAAGATCTAGAGTCTTAACGCTTTACCATCTGAGCCAGCCAGGTGCCCCAGAGCACATACTTCCTATATTCTGGTGAAAACTAACTTTTGTGTCTATAGTTTTCATTGTTTTGTTTCATCTAATAGCAGTGAACCTGGATTTGCAATGGCTCAACCTAACGGTTTTTCAACTTTAGGAGGATGTGGAAGCAATATGCATTTAGTAGAAACTGTACTTGGAATTTTGATTTTTGATCTTTTCCTGGGCTAGCAGTGTGTGCTCTGATCCTCTTATGCTGCTGGGCAGAGGCTGCACCCGCAGCTATATCAGCCCCATAATCATGAGGGTAAAACACCCATAGACTCACTACCATTCTGTGCACATGCAACCACTCCGTTTTTCACTTTCAGTACAGTGTTCAATGAGTTGTATGAGATATTCAACAGTTTATTATAAAGTAGGCTTTGTGTTGGATGCTTTTGCCCAATTGTAGGCTAATGTGTGTTCTGAGCATGGTTTAGATATGCTAGCCCAAGCTATGAGATTCGGTAGGTTACATGGTTTTTGTTTGTTTGTTTGTTTGTTGAGGCAGAGAGAGAGAGCTGGGGAGGGGCAGAGGGAAGAGAAGAGAGAATCCCAAGCAGGCTGCACACCCAGCAAGGAACCCAAATTAGGGCTCAATCACAGGAACCTGAGGTCGTGACCTGAGCCAAAATCAAGAGTCCGATGTTCAACCGACCAAGCCACCCAGGCACCCCGGGGTTAAGAGCATTAAATGTATTTTTGACTCATGGTATTTTCAATTTACCATGGGTCTAATGGGATGTAATCCTGTTGCGAGTTGAGGAAGATATGCTCTATTTTTCATTGTCGATTAGTTTTCTATCACATCACTATGCCACAGCTGATCCTTTTGGGTTGTGTACAGTTTGAGGCTGTGCTGAAAGCAGCTTTGGACATTTTGGAGCATGGCTTTTGATGAATTCACAGTTATTTCTTTTGGAAATATACACAGCATGGGAAGTGTTCAGTCATTGGGTATTAGTAGGTGTTGTTTTACTAGATACTGCCAAATCTTGTGAAGTATATGGGGCACCTGGGTGGCTCAGTCGGTTGAGCCTCCGACTTCGGCTCAGATCATGATCTCACGGTTTGTGAGTTCGAGCCCCGCATCGGGCTCTGTGCCTGCAGCCTGGAGCCTGCTTCGGATTCTGTGTCTCCCTCTCTCTCTGACCCTCCCCTGTTCATGCTCTGTCTGTCTCTGTCTCAAAAATAAATAAACATTAAAAAA